ATTAAAAATAGAAAGAAATTAGCTGGACAACTAAAAATATATAGAAAAAATTAGCTGGGCATGGCAGCTCACGCCTGTAGTCCCAGCTACTCGGGAGGTTGAGGCAGGATTGCTTGAGACCAGGAGTTTGAGGTTGCTGAGAGCTAGCCTGATGCCACAGCACTCTAGCCCAGGTAACAGAGCAAAGACTCTGTCTCAAAAAAAAAAAAAAGAAAAAAGAAAACAAAAACACATCTTTACTATCAATGTGAAGTACTAGCTGACAATTATCAATTTCTCAAATAAGAACATAAGCTGCTTGTGACTGAAGAAGTAATTACCTTGCCAAGGGATGACATAAGCAACTTGGCCAGGACGGAACCAATGAATGGGAACCATATAGAATTCCAATTTGGCCAGTTAATTTATATAAGTGAAACAGTTAATTTTACTCAATAATATATTCAAACATTAATTATATTCATTGCTGTGATTCTTGATTAAAGAATCACAATAATGAAAGCAGAAAAAAATTATTCAGAGGACTTCATGAAAATTAGAAGTTACAGAAACTTGGGCTGGGTCTTCCAGTCTGAGGCCATCCATGGCCTGAGGGTCAAGTGTTCCACTGGCACCAGAAAGAGTTTAAGTTCATGAAACCGGAGAAAGTGGTGCTGGTCCTGGCCAGGTGCAGAGCCGTGATAATGAAGAACGGTTGATGACGGCACCTCAGACTGCTCCTACAGCCACGCTCTGGTGGCTGGAACTGATCACTACTATCCCCACAAAGTGACAGCTGCTACCACAGGCAAGAAAAACCACCAAGGGGTCAAAGATCAAGTGTTTTCTGAAAGTTTATAACTACAATCACCTAACGCCCACAAGGTACTATGTGCATGCATGTCCCCTTGGACAAAACTGTCATCAACAACGATGTCAAGGCCTGAGGTGGCTGGGGCAAAGTCAAGTTTGAAGAGAGGTACAAGAGAGACAAGAACAAGTGGTTCTTCCAGCAGCTGTGGTTGTTTCAGTTATTAAAAATTTTTAAAAATTAAAAGTAACATAATGTTACGATTTCAAAAGTCATTCACTTGATTTAAAAAGGAAATACATAGCCCCAAATTAGTTACTACTTTTTCAATGCATGTTCAATTTGGTTAAAAGGATACGTTGGAAACAATGTCTGGTGAATGGAAGGGCTTTGTTGGTGCACTGTTCACCCTTCACAGTTCCACTGCATGCTACCGGATCCATCTCCCTCAACTTGGTCCGGCTTATGCTAAGGAGGGAAAAACACAAAATTAATTTTTAAAAAACGCCTCAAGAATCTAGGTTCATTTTTCAACATTATGTTACCACTCTGTAACATCCCCATTATAACTATCTATAATATTTATAGTCATTAAATAAAATGCAAATGAGTTAAAGAAAGAAGGTATTATAATTACCAATTGTGTTATTTCCACAGTATACTGACATTCAAAGCAAATGGTTACCATCACAATAGATTCCAAATATGTCTATCTTGTTTTATGAGTGACATTTTGGTTCCTCTTTCTTCACAAAGAGGCAGTAGATGAGACTAGAATCAAACAGACCTGGTTCTGAATCTCAGCTCTACCTCTTTTTTTTTTTTTTTTTTTTTTTTGAGACAGAGTCTCACTCTGTTGCCCTGGCTAGAGTGAGTGCCGTGGCGTCAGCCTAGCTCACAGCAACCTCAAACTCCTGGGCTCAAGCGATCCTCCTGCCTCAGCCTCACGAGTAGCTGGGACTACAGGCATGCGCCACCATGCCCGGCTAATTTTTTCTATATATTTTTAAGTTGTCCGATACTAGCTGTATGACCTTGGGCAAGTTACTTAGCCTCACTTAAACCTCAGCTTCCTCAGTGTAAAGTAGAGACACTAAGGTACCTTCAGCTGGCAGGCTTGTTGGAAACATAGAAAAGATGTAACAGATCCAAACCATATACATACAGTGTACAGTATGGTACATACGGTTGTTAGTCATGACTATGATTATCATCATCACTATGATCTGGTCACCTTGTGCTGCTAAACAGCTCAATCTCATACATGGAAAAGAGGACACTGATATGCAGAAATGGTTTAGTCATTCTCATCCTCCAAAGTGCACTCATTTTGGACATACTTTTTAAACTTTCTATTACATCTGCAACTCCATGTTTCATTATTTAAATCTTATCTCTACTTTGTACACTTAATGTTTAAATATTTTAACTTTTTAAAAATTTTATGGAGAGGCAATGCATCTACATAGTTCCATTTAAAAAAAAAAATCAAAGAACACAAAGTTAGGCAATGAACACTCTACTTCTGCCCTTATCCCCTGATTTGCCAGTCCCCGCTTCTTCTACAGTATGTCTTCATTTTATTAGTTTGCAGATTCTTCCAGTTTCTTTACACAAACATAAAAAAAAAACCCAAATAAATAATGTCTAAATTTTTAGAAGTACAAAAACTATCCTATGTGACTCTGTAAAGCAATGCAAACTATGAGGCCTTTACAAATGTCTGAGTATGGGAGAAAAAAATCCACTTAACGCACTAAGTCCAAGTCAGGCATCAAAAATAAAAAAATCTTCTGAGTTGTTTGCTTCTAGTGTCTAAGGGGTTCAATGTAGTAATATACACTAATTAGATAAGATCACACAAAATCTAAATTACATATGAATCAACATAAAATAGAAATACATGAATACTTCTATTACAATTATTACTTTCATGTAAACAGCAAACAGATAAGCAGGTGCTACCACAGAGCTTCCTTTAATTAAGATTTCTGGGCCGGGCGCGGTGGCTCACACCTGTAATCCTAGCTCTCTGGGAGGCTGAGGCGGGCGGATTGTTTGAGCTCAGGAGTTCGAAACCAGCCTGAGCAAGAGCGAGACCCCATCTCTACTAAAAATAGAAAGAAATTAATTGGACAACTAAAAATACATAGAAAAAATTAGCCGGGCACATCCTGTAGTCCCAGCTACTCGGGAGGCTGAGGCAGGGATCGATTGAGCCCAGGAGTTTGAGGTTGCTGTGAGCTAGGATGACGCCACGGCACTCTAACCCGGGCAACACAGTGAGACTCTGTCTCAAAAAAAAAAAAAAAAAAGATTTCTGCAAGATTTGTTGGATCACAACAGTGGGGAAGTCAATCATTATAGAACTGTTTATTCCTAATAATTTATACATCACCCCTAAAAGTGTTTACACTAACTTTAGCACTGTAAAAAGGATATACGATTTCAAATAAATAAACCTTTACTATTTTGATAGCTAAGCCAAAAAATCTTGGTCTAGATTTAAACAGAAGGCTCTCTACATTGTAGGGATACATTTTTTTTTTTTTTTGAGACCGTGTCTCGCTCTGTCGCCCTGCATAGAGTACAGTGGCATCGTCATGGCTCACTGCAACCTCAAACTGCTGGGCTCAAGCGATCGATCCTTTTGCCTCAGCCTCCCAAGTAGCTGGGACTACAGGCACGCACCATAACATCCAGCTAATTTTCTATTTTTAGTAGAGACGGGGTCTCACTCTTGCTCAGGCTGGTCTCAAACTCCTAAGCTCAAATAATCTTCTCACTTTGGCCTCCCAGAGTGTCAAGATTGCAGGCGTGAGCCACCGCACCTGGCCATAGGGATAGTTTTCACAGGACACTTTAATAATTTTGCTCAGCCATTTACCAAGCCTAGTATACAACATATTCCCTCATTTTCTTTATTCCAGACTTCCAAAAAACCCCTTTGGCTTTATTTTTAAAAATAGCCTTATGTTCCAACTTACCAACTAGCTCTTAAAATAAATCCAAAGTCAGAAATTCAATATTCTCACTGATAAATTAAAGCAAAAATGCTTGATATGATGTTAAGCATACTTTATTATCCAAATAATTCCAACAAAACAAAGGGAATTACAAAACTTTTTTTTTTTTATGAGACACACCCTTGCTCTGTTGCCCGGGTTAGAGTGCAGTGGCATCATCATAGCTCACTGCAACCTCAAACTCCTGGGATCAAGTGATCCTCCTGCCTCAGCCTCCCAAATCCCTGGGACTGCAGCCATGTGCCACCACGACCCACTCATTTTTTAAATTTTTTGTAGAGACAAGGTCTTGCTATGTTGCTTAGGCTGCTCTCCAACTCCTGGCCTCAATGATCCTCCAGCCTTGGCCTCCCAAAGTGCTAGGATTACAAGTATGAGCTCCAGTGCCCAGTCTTTGATGGTTACTTTTTTTTTTCTAAGACAGGGTCTCATGGCTGGGCGCGGTGGCTCACGCCTGTAATCCTAGCATTTTGGGAGGCCAAGGCAGGAGGATTACTTGAGCTCAGGAGTTCGAGACCAGTCTGAGCAAGAGCAAGACCCCATCTCTACTATAAATAGAAAGAAATTAGCCAAACAACTAAAAATAGAAAAAATTAGCCAGGCATGGTGGCGCCTGCCTGTAGATCCAGCTACCCGGGAGGCTGAGGCAGGAGAATCGCTTGAGCCTAGGAGTTTGAGGTTGCTGTGAGCTAGGCTGACGCCAGGGCACTCTAGCCCAGGCAATAGAGTGAGACTCTGTCTCAAAAAAAAAAAACAAACAAACAAAAAAACAAAACGCAGGGTCTCACTATATCGCCCAGATTGGAGTGCAGTGGCCTGATCACAGCTCATTGTAACCTTGAATTCTAAGTTCAAGCAATCACCTGGCTAATTCTTTTATTTTTTATAGAGATGAGGGTCTGGCAATGGTACTCAGGCTGGTCTTGAACATCTGGCCACAAGTGATCCTCCTGCCTTGGCCTCCCAAAGTGCTGGGATTACAGGCATAAGCCACCATGCCTGGCCAAGGTTTTTAATAGTACAAAAAAAAAAACAATCTACTACAGGCTTCCCATTGGTGTGCTCTATTTTATCCTATAAACAATGATGTTTCCACACAAGCATTAGTTACCATAGGATTGTGGGCTACAAGTTATTGAATTTTGGTTTGCACACTTTAAGCTATTTCAGTGGCTTAGTCTACTTACTTACCAATAAATATGACAAAGTTATTAAGTAAGAAAAATGAACATTATTTAGCTTATATAAAACTATATTTTAAAGGACACATATTAGAAAGTAGCCTTTTAAGTTTTAATTTCTAAAATATTTAATGGCAACTTTTTAAATGTCTTTTGTAGAACTAGGGCTTTGGTCCCAAAAACACCAAATAGGGTGGTTCACCCAACTAACAGCTGATTTTTGTGAACCTAAAATATGATGTAATAATGTAAGGTAATAAGCTACCAATCACCAAGGAATGATTATGGCACATTGTTACATGATTATCAGTGATGCACATAAACTTTTCACCAGTCATGGTGACATGACCAAATGATATCAAATCAATTTGAAAACTATTATATTCCATCTTGGTGCTTGTTTTTTGTGACAGTTATCCTTAACTATTTTTTAACTATCACTAAAGTTGGTTTGGATGTTGTTCTGAAAACAACCAGTTAACAATCATAGATAAATACAGTTTTCCACACAAATACCAAATTGTCCCAAACTCATAGTATAGTCTCTGACATCTTTGACAAGATCATAATAATATACTAGACTCAATGAATATAATGTTTACATACAAATCTCTTCATGCTGGATAAAGCTACAATTTCTACTGAAATTATACACTTGAAAGCATTGTATCATTGAATGTTAGATATTATTAATTTTATAACCTGTGTCAAACTGAGTGAATTCTTCCAACGAATAGAGAACAGACTTTCATTTATTCAATTCTATTCACTTGTTTGTCAATACTGGGGATTTAAGAACAAAATGCACCTTGTTCCTACTCTCATGGCAATTACTGTTCAGCATGAGAGACAGACATTAACATAAGCATAAATTCTACAACGAAGCGGAGTACACAGCACAATAAGCTATTCTTCATAATAGGGGGAACCTAACACAGTCCAGGGAATTAGGAAATGTTTCTCTAAGAAAGATAAGTCTCTGAGTAAGCTGGAACCTGAAGAATCTTCTAGAACAGACACTACACATCCCTTACAGAGGACTGGGAGATCTAGAGTAAGGGAAGATGCTCTAGGCTATAGCCATTATGTACAGTATGTTAGCCACATGTATACTGTTTCAAACAATTCTAAATCTGTTCTACTTCTAGAAAACCCTTAAGCGCATAGTGCATCTATGTGAGATATGCAATTAAAACTTAGGTTACTGTTTTACAACAAAGGAAAAGTACACGAAAATAAAATATAAAAAAATATATAGGTATTTAAATAATATGATCGATAGCCACAAAGTAAAGGTTGTATTTTAATATTTTGTTTTAAAATCTTTTTTCTTCAGGTGGGTCAATGAGAATATGTAGACTAAGAATTTTTTCTTCACTTTATTATTATTATCCCACCATCGAAAGACATTTCAGTATATAAACCCCTAAATATTTTTCTATACATATATACTAAAAGTCATCATCTGAAAATATAATAACTAAAAAGTGTGAAATAATAAACTTAAGAAAGAACCAGACCTTTGAAATTTGAAAACTATT